TCTCTTACTCTCTCTGTCTCTGTCTCTCTCTTTCTCTATATATATATATATATAAATATATATATGTATATATATGTATATAGTGAGTGTGTGGTTATCGATATGTGCTATCGATAAACGATTCACGAGCTACGCTTAGTGCAGTTTTATCAGTTATGGTTGTTTTTTTGTTTTGCTTTTTTGATTTAAATTTGATGTTGTTGCTGTTGTTGTTGTTTTTTTTATTATTGTTAATTAGTTTCTCATTTTTGTCATTTTTTTTTTTTGTGTTTTTTTGTTAGCACTAATTTGGTATTCCTTGGATATATTGTTTGTCTTTACGAGTCGGTTGTCGCACACATTTGTTTAACTGGATGTTTTGAGGGGAGGGAAGGGGAAATGTTACAGAAATTGTTGAAACACACACGAAAACTCAAGAGAATTTGCCAAAGAACGGAGAACCAAAAAACCAAAATTATTAATCGGAAAAATGTAGTAGAGCACAAGAACTGCAACTGACTGACTGACTGACTGACTGACTGACTGACTGACTGACTGACTGACTGAACTGACTGAACTGACTGACCCGAAAGCCGTTTACCAACTGAACCAGTTCAGAATAAGACGCGGAATGGAGACCAACACAAAATGGGAACACAGCTGAAACGACCCAAAAAACGGCAAGAAATTGTCATTATGATGACTGCGTACAAAAGACATCAACTTGGACACAAATACAGCATAAATTCTGGTTATCTCTCTCTCTCTCGCTCTCTCTCTATCTCTCTATCTGTCTGTCTCTCTGACACTCTCTCTCTCACACACACACACACTCAATAACTGTCGCAGTGGTGCAGATTGTAAGTCTGGTGCACCGCTGACTGGGGACTAATAAAATGCAAGTTAAATGTTTGTTAAAAATGTATTGCTAAGAAAACAGTTTCAACGCCACAGTTGCAAATGGGCAGCAAGCGAAAGAGAGAGAGAGAGACAGACACAGAGAGAAAGAGAGAGAGAGAGAGAGAGAGACAGAGAGAGAGAGAGAGGGAGGCAGAGATACAGAGAGATACAGAGTTTTAAAAGACAGTTAAGAGCTTTTGGCAGCCGACCAGGCGACGAAACTACACCAAAATTCTTGACACAAGATTAAGTCACAAAAATCTCAACAAGGAACAATTTCAAATGCAATGAAAATGAATTGCAAACCAAATTCGATAGAAATCTCTTAAAAAATGTCGATCAAAATGATTTTCGTTTTGAAGCTACTTCGCTTATCTAAAATTTTGTATGCTCAATCAACAATAAATAGAAGACTAAGCGATAATTCCAAAGATTGATTCCTGCACTTATTTTGTGCAACTTAAAAAAAAAAACAAACAACAAAAAAAAGAAAAAGAAACCCCGTTGATGTGTTTCGATAAGCCAAACTGTTTGGCAATGCAGCACTTTCCGATGTCCTGTTTTGTTATGTCCTGTCGGCTACACATGTATCTGTGTGTGTGTGTGTGTGTGCGACTGCATTCACAGTTCAAGAAAAATAAGCATACAGAAATGCTCGACAGCTCAACAGTCGTCGTCAGTGAGTGAATACAGGATATACATATGTGCACAATATGCAGTTGGCTATGGACCTTAGGATCCTTTGCTGCTGTTGCTGCTACTTTCCCTTTGTGCTTGTGTCCGAGCTGTTGGCTTTCCGCTTCCATTCGCCGAGCGCTTCAAGCGTAATTTATCTGCTGGCAAAATGTGTGGCTGCGACTGTCAACTGGACGCCAAAGACGGCCAAGACGGAGTGCACAATGCCAAGCAAAATTTATGCAGGCCAAAAGCGTATGGCCACACAGTTGCCAGCAGACACACACACACACACACGCACACACACATACATATATACACCATATATTAGACACACACAGCAGTTGAGACACATACACTCAACAAAAATAGCTATTAACTTGAAAATTGTGCAACATTTTTGTTTCTTTGAATAATAAATTCCTCATTCACAGCATAAAAATATACCAGCAAAAATATTTTGTATCTTTCAGCAAATAGTTTTTGGAAAGTGGCAAAATAAAATTCGGAATTTTTCTCTGAGTGTATAGCATGGTGGGTACTGTATTAACTGCAACTAAATCAAACTTTTGAGCCAAGTTATGAATTATTTGCCATTGTGCAGAATGCGAAACATTTCTTTGTCGCTTTGTCCTTGCCCATTTTGCCAGGAAATGGCAACAGGGGGCAACCTTAAGACCCGCTTCCTCAGCCTACCTCAACCCCAGCCCAACCCACTTCCTCCATGTACGAGCTAGGCCAGAACGGAGAACATCCGGCGGACTGGGCTTTGTGATACCATTTGGCTACCTGCACTGTCATCCTGCTGCTGCTCGACTGCTCGACTGCTGCTGTCTACATCATTTTTGTGGGCCAAGTTAATTTGAACATAAACAACAAGAGCAACAGCAACAGCAACAGCAACAACAACAACAAGCTGAACCTCAATTTCGTAGCATACTTTTTTCTCCTTTTTTTTTTGGGGGCGGGGCCAGCAAATTTGTATAAAATAAATATACGAGAAAAAAAAATGGAAAAGGTTTTCGCTTCTTCTATTTGGTTTTTTTTTTTTCTTTTCTTTTTTTGTGCCTAGCTGTGATGATGTAGCAGTTGACTTTCAGGGACAGTCGAGACACGTCAATTTCATAGACGACCCCATAATGCTCGGCTGTTGTTGTTGTTGTTGTTGTTGTTGTTGTTTTAGAGTGGACCCAACAACAACAAAAGCCTGCAAGCACGGGACTAAAAACGAAAATATGAACGAGGGTAAAAAAAATTAAATGAAGCACAAATTAAGTGAAAATAATAAACCCTTGGGCGGCAAAACAAAGCAACAAACACACACGGACGGCTACAGTTGCGGGGGCGGGGCGGTTTGAGGGGGACTACACACATATATATATATATATTAGGCCTGGTTGCGTCCCGTCTGCGAATGTTTGCTCTTCTCTGTTGTTGCTGCATTAGAGTTAATTAAAGCTTGACCTCGCACAGTGAAGCCTAACGCAAATTGGCGACTGACCCTCCTTCTTTTGAACTGCAAGGTTAAGTTTCAGTCTGACCTTGAATTGCTTACATGGCTATCGATAAGTTGATATGAGCGCGAAAGCAACTGGTATGCATGCGATGTAAATATCGATAACAATATATATATATATATATATGCATTTATTTGTTGATTGAGCAGAGATTGGCAAGCGCTATATTAATCGAACACCGATAAATGACTATCGATAACTGTATATAAGCGATGTGATGGCAACTGGTATGCATATGAAGAGTATACAAGTTGGCAAAACATTGATATTGGTGCAAAAGTCCAACCGATTTAAATATCGATAACAATTTATTAGATTTGTGGAATTTATTTGTCAATTGATGAAAGATTCGCTTGCGCAATCTCTCTTTCTCTCTCACTCTCTCTCTATCTTTCTGAGAGAGAGACTCTCTTTTTTTCTCTCTCTCTCAGTGAAAACATAGAAAACTTATCGGCAGACAGGCTCAAGTTGATTCATGTGTGTATGTTTTCTCAGTCAGTTTGTAACTGGAATCCTTGCAAATGAATGGCCGGAATAGAAATAATGAGCCGTATTTACATTTAAAAACGTACAGCTTGCAGCCAATAAGGAGAGCAATGGGCTGAAACTGTAATGCGACAACTGAAAGAAGGATGTGGGAATAGACTGACACAGACAGAGAGAAACAGGCAGAGAGTGAGAGAGAGAGAAAAGGGGCACACTGTGGACGTTGGCCGATTGCATGCAATTTGTTTTATGGCCGGGCATTCGCATTAAGCGCACACTTAATCACACGCACGGGGTGGGGTCAGGGGTCGGGGAGTAAGGGGGTAAGGGGGCAAGGGGGTCAGGGGGTGTAAAGGGTGTGGCATATCCGCCCATTTTTCGGTGGACCGGAGCCGGCGACAAATCAAATTGATTTCACAATAAGCCCACATATATACCCTTAGCAAAGGGATAATCCCATTTGAGCATCAAGTGTGCTTTCTGAGAGGGTATTATACCTCAGCCTCATTAGAGACTATAATGATCATATGATGATCAGCGCAATTTAAAAGAATCTATGGCATCGGATTTATTTTGGGACACATTTGTTACCCTTAGCATGGGTAATTAACTCACATCGGAACTGGTCGAATTGTCAAATGGGTGTGCCATATAGCTGATGTTAACAAAAGTCAGAGTACTATATAACTGTGGAAAGTTGAGCTTTATTTTAATGAAAATTATCTATTGATTTTTAAAGTAATTTAATGATTTTTTCATTGTTTTATTGCTGTTCTTCAAAGAAACTTTATGAAATTATTTTCATTTAATCGACTAGATTTGATTTAAGATCTTTATTATAGAATATTGTTAGGGTATTTGGGCAACGGCAATTGCGAGTGGAATTGTTTACAGACATTACTTGTTGTTCTTGCTGTTATTGCTGCTGATGTCGTTTGGGGCTTTAGCGCAGCATTATTAAATCACTTTTATTGCCATTGAAATGTGCAAAAGTTTTGTGCGTTGGCATCTCAACTGCCCAACCCACCTCACCTACCCCTGTTTGTACGCCTTCCTCCCCACACCACAGCACAAAAAAAAATACGCCTTTGTACACGCATCGTAGGCAGGACAAAGGCGAGGCAAAAGTAGTCTGTGCTGAGTGTTGTATGTGGCGTATGCGTAATATGAGTCCAAGTGCGTAACTCATCTTTGCGCCTGTCGCCGCCAAAATGGATAAAATTGGCGACTTGGCTCAGTTCATTGCCGTAACGCATACCCGAGAAAATGGAGACAAGTGAATTATATTTATATATTCACATATATATATATATATATATATGTATTTATTAATGTTGTCTGGAGTTTGCTGCTCCTGGCCAATGGCACGAGTGACTGACTGACTGACTGACTGGCTGACTGGGTGACAAGACAGCTAAAGCAACAACACATAACAAACAGGACAAAAACACAATGCGACTTTGGGCACTTGAGGCGCCACAAACAAAACACGACACGACACGAGTACAAGAACAAGAAAAATAAGTGGCGTCTGCCCTGCAGACAACTAAAGCCTACTAGTGTGTATGTGTATGTATGAGTGGGTATACGTGGGTGTACGTGGGTGTACCAAGAAGAAAACAACATAGAAATTGAACATATATATACATATATATATATACATATAGCAGAGCAAATGACGTCAGTTAGCCATTAAATATAGCCTTTACTTTCATTCAATCAGCTCATCAAGATTTGCAAAAATACACAGAGCAAGTTAAATTACTCAAAATACGTTTATGTGCATAGACAAATGTGGCTGATACACTCGACGAAAATATTAACTTGAGCAACTGTGGAATGCGGAACGAACCATTCTTTATTGGCACTTGAATTAATGATTTAGCTGCTTTCATAAATGCAAAAAATGGCGACAGTTTTCAAATGAGCTCACTTTTCTTTTAAAGCATATTGTTTCATCTTTAACTTTCGATCTAATTATTTTTAATAATTAAATGTTTTTGCTTACACTTTGCAATTTTATGTTATTATCTTATTAAGTCTGATATATCCACCTCATTTTGGACACTCATCGGTTGATTAAGTTAAACTCCGACAGTCGTACAACAGAAAACATTTAATACAAATTTGTTTAAAACGTTCAAAAGCAGAATAATATTTAAACTAAAACTTATATTGCAGCAGATTATCGCCGGTCTACAAGGGTATATAATCTTCAGCTTGTTAAAGATAATTGTTTTTTTCATTTCTTCTTTTTTCTTATTTTTAAGCAGGTATATTTTTTCTTTTTTTTGAGTTTGTCACATTTTAATAGGGGTGTGGGTGAGGAGGCCGTAAGAGGCTGTCAACTACAGACTTAAGAGCTCAACAAGTCTTGGCAGGCACACACTCACAAGCACACACACACACACACACACACACATACACATGCAGCTCATTAAACAGTGGATGTAGAAAGAAAATCCGTTTAATAAACGCTTTGGCCTAAATCAAAGTATTTTTACAATCTGCAACGGATAAGCCAATGGAAGAGTATCAAAAGTTTCATTAATGGCATATTTTGTGATTGTGTCTCTTTAGAAAAGTAAAGCATTTTGCTGTAAATAAAGTTGTCCGCTTTAATGCCATATAACCAAGCTCCAATGGCTGGCTAAAGATAACAACGAAAACTAAAACAAATTTCGATTGCATAAGCCCAATGATAAAGACGTAGACGCAGCAACCACAAAAGCAAGTTTCTTGGGGGCATGGTGCTGGTGGTGCTGGTTGTGCTGGTTGTGCTGGTTGTGCTGGTTGTGCTGGTGTTGTGGTTGTGGGTTAGTAATTTGTTTAGACATCAGTTAGCTGTCAGTTGGTTAGTCGAAAGTCACAAGTCGCAAGTCGCTGATTAATTGAATTGGATTTGGCTGGATTTTGATTGTGAGTCAAAGTTATAGCTGAAACAAGAATATATATACATATATATATAAGACGAGAGGGGCAAACGAGACTCACAAGTGTTGAAAGTACAATAAAATTCTGTTAATTGGCCATCAGAAATAACTTGCCAAAACTTAGGCGATTAAAACGAAATTCCTCGTTATTCATGGCTCAATTTTTCGACACAAACTCCCCTGAATATATTGATCCAAAACAAAAAAAGTTAAAGCTTAAATCAATACTTGCTACTCTAAACAATTACACATTTTTAAATATATTGTGAATGTGCATTTTACTTCTCACTTTATTTCAACTGTGATTATATTTCTCTCTTTCAAATACTCAAAGACGCATTTAATTGCGTTACATTTTGATTTTTAGTAAAAATTACGATGCGTTTTTGCTGACAGAAGCAAAATAATCAAGAAAAATGAATGCAACTTGAATGCAGTATGCATTTGAGTTGTTTGTGTTGCTTTCTCTCTATCTATCAATACACTTCATTTGTCTGACAATGCCAATTTCGATTTAAGATTGCCTTTGAATACAAAACAGTTGTGAGCTGACTAGCGTCCAGGAGGATGAGAATGGGGATGGGAATAGAGAAGGGGTTGCTTAGGAACAAGAGATTTAGCTTTAGTTTCAGTTGGTATTATTTCTTGTGGCTTTTTGTTATTATTATTATTGTTATTGTTAATGGGGTTGTTGTTGCTGCTGCTGCTGCTGCTGCTGCTGCTGATGCTGCTGGCGCTTAATGATGTAGAAGAATATCGCCCTTGACTGATTTGTGAGGCAAGTGCAGCATCAAAAGCAGCTGTAACTGGCACTGAAGCTGAAGCTGAACCTGAGCCGTAGCCAGTAGCCAGAGGGTTGCTAAGAGTAGCTGGCTGGGGGGGGGTTACTTATTGGAGTGGATTGGGAACGTTGTGTTTATTTTTGATTTGTTTTTTTACAATTTTCTGGTTTTTCATACACTGTTCGGCAAGCACCAGCAAATGGGCGTATTGAAGTTTTCAAGAAAAATCCCTAAAGTTACACTGAGAAAACAAATTTCCAGCAGAGTATTGTGTAGTCGACTTGATTTTGGACTGCAATGATGTTTTGCTCGATTTAATTTTTTTGCTATTTGGCTGCAATGCTGAAGTATTTTTTGAGTTGCTTAAGCCTCGATATGTGTATAGGTGTGTGTGTATGAGTGAGTGTGTGTGTGTGTTGTTGTTGCTATTGATATTATAATAGCAATGCTAAACCGTCATGGAAACACACACACACACACACACACACACACTGGAACAGAATAATTGGGAGCAAAAGCTGTTCTGCACAAAAGGGCAGAGCGCACAACATACTATTATCAGATGTGTGTGTGTGTGTGTGTGTGTGTGAGTGTGTGTGTGTGTGTGTGTGTGTGTGTCTGTGTGTGCGTGTGTGTGTAAAACTGAAGCAGCGTCCAACCAGCAGCATTCTCAACCAATGGACTCAATCAGTAGAGCAACATCAAACAACAACAATAAGAATAAAAGAGAGCAGCAAATCAGAAAAACTACACACACTTACACACACACACACACATGCACAGACAGACGCACAAAGGAAAAAATAAACCTGTTTGTATGTATATGTATATGGTAAAAACAAACAATAGTAAAACTGATTAAGTCGGGGCAAAACCACATCAAGCTAAACGATGATGAAGAAAAGACCAAAAGATTACGAACATTGAACGCAGGATGGATGGAACATGGATGGATGCAAGAACCCCGGCGAAGGACTATGCGAAAAAGCATGTGGACGCTTGGACGCGAATCTGAACCACACGCGGACTTCACTAAACACAGACACGCACACACACGCACACACACACACACTCGCACACACATATTGACTCGAATGGCAGCAGCCACTGTGGAAGTGGAAGGAAATGAAAAATAATGCGGGTCTTAGGGCTGCCAGCGTGTATTTGTGTGTGTGTGTGTGTGTGCGTGTGTGTGTGTGTGTGTACGAAATGAAAATGAAGCACAAGTTGAGGGTTGTAGTAAAATAAAGAAAAAAAAAAGAAGAAGAAGAAATGTTCAGCAAAAGAAGCAGAACAGGAAAATGCTACCACATATCGAATAATTGAAAGGATTCGCACAAGCTGCGCAAAATGAGCCAAAAGCCTAAAGACTAAGCGCAAGAGAGAATCGGCCAACGAGGGGATTCGACTCTCAACTACCCTGTAACCAGATATGTGTGATAATTTCTAAGCCATGTGAAAACTTTCAGCTTAAATAATCAACAAGCCATTGCATGGAGTATAATGTAATTTGTAAATATGTAAAAATTGCTAACTAAAAATCAGAAGTATGCTAAAAATATTTTTAACATACATAAGCAATATGTAATAATCCTTTATTACAAATTTCGAAGAGGACCGACTTAAGCTGCTTATCTACAGATGCTGTAGAGGGACGCTGTTGCTGTCGCCTTTAAATCTCTAACATGCATTTGCATAACTTTATTATGCCTTCCCACACCAATTTAATGGTAACAGAGCATGAAAATAGAAAAAAAAAACAACAAAAAACAAAAAACAACGGGGAGAAGGTTGGTTGAGAGGAGCAGGATTTAACTTTCAAGCGACAATTTGTAAGATATGATAGTAATGCTCCCTAACAGCAACTGATGGTGGTGGTGGTGCTGCTGCTGCTGCTGCTGCAACAATGACAGCAAAATTAGTCATTGTGCTGGCGAGCAAGTTGGAGACTTATCCAACATGGCCACAGTTCGCCGCACATTTGCATATATGTACCATGTAGATAAGTATACTTATATATATACACACACACACAAACACACACACAGATAGATGAATTCATGCGTGCTTTTGCGAATCTTGCCCTAGTGCCTGACAATTATGTACAATTCACTTTGCATAACACTCAAGAGTCACGACAACAATAAGAATAACATTTGGATTCGGGTTGAAGTTGCCCCGGCTACCAGCGGCTTGTGGCCTGCCACGCATAAGGGTTTGCGGGGGTTGGGCTAAGAGTCGGGACTAGCTAGTTATCATTTTGTTGTTGTCCAAAAAATGACAGAAGAAAAAAAACACACTCAAAAAGCAAAGCAACAATATACTTTGAAGAGTGTTCTGAATATGTTTTGTTGAACAGCTCAAGCTCAAAATAAAGTTTGTTGAACACAGTTACAGTTAACTGTTATCGGTCGTTGTTAGCTGGCAAGTTTTGAAAAGGAAACAAAAGATATTAACGCACAACTATCGGGTAACCAAACAGTCAGTCATATAATAAGAACTTTAGCTTGCCAAAGAGACCCCGACAACTTGGGCGCCAAATATTGAAATGAAATATATATAGAAAAAAAATAACAACACTAAAGTAAAGGAGCAACTATCAAGAAATATAAACTAATTAGTAGTATGCACACGCCCTAGACTGGCTTTTGACATTATCTAAAAATAAATACTAGATTCAAGTAAAAAAAAATATTTTAAAAACAGACCCACGTTGGGCGCCAAATGTGTGTGTTATTTGGTGTCAAATTTTTAATGCTTCACAAAATAAAAAAACAAAATTTCCATAAATTTTTTGGAAAAATGCTCGCTTTGAATTGGAATAATTGAAGGCTTACTAGTAATCGGGACACACCATGCGACTGCGAGTGCAGCTGCTTTCTGGAGTTTGGCTTTGATCAAAATGTCTGGAAATAGTATTAGTACATGTTAAGAGCAGGCAATGTATTCGTTATAATTGAAATGTGATTGTGAACATTTGTGAGACGAACGAAACGAAAATAAAATAACGAGCACAGAGAGCGACGCATTGATTATTTTTTATTAGTATTTTTTTTTTTTTTTTTGGCATTTCTGGTGAGTGAAACTTGTGAATGGTGATTGCAGCTGCTTTTTTTTTTGAGAGAACATTGCACATTGTGAAGTAAATTCATTATATATATATCTTTATAAATTAATTCTTAATTGCATGGTGTGTGTGTGTGTGTGTGTATGTGTGTGTGTGGTGAGTGAAAGAGCTGAGAGCAACAATTGGGTGTGAGAAACGTGAGAATAAATAATATGGATAAGGACCAAAAACATAATCGAATAATACAAATGAGCTGAGAATGCAGTGCAAATTCTATTGGCAAATTTCAATTTAGTTCGGTTAAATATTTTTCTTTTGAAGCTGGATTGCAACTCGAGTTCTTTTTATTTAGCTTACGCTTGAATTGAGTTTGCTTTTGCTTTAGTCACTTGATTTTTTTTGGTTTTTTTTTTATTATTTTGTTGGAGCTTTCTTTTGCTAACCTTGTGTGGGGTATTTCGCATATGGAAAATTTGTGATTTTGCTTGCATTGTTTTTTTTTTTCTTTCTTTTTGATTGTGAGTTTTTTTAATTGGAATTTTGCAGTAAGGCAGATTCGATTGATGATGTCGACAAATATATATATATATGTATATGTATATATATTTAACGATTTCAATTTTGGTGTGTTTGCAAATAGATTTTTTGATTTTGTTGGCCTTTGGTTTTATTTATTTTCTTTTTTGGTTTTTCGGGTGCAATGGTGAGTTTAGCGCTTTTGTACAGAAATGAGTTGAGTTTTGATTTGGATTTGCAGTTTAGCGAGATTTGATTTTGTTTAATTTTGATTTTGATTTTGATTTTGATTTTGATTTAGAACTTCTCCGATATGCTATAGATGCGCTTAACGCTCACGCACTTGCGTCTCAGACGCTCGCACTCGATCTCCCGAATATCGGCGTGTGAACTGGAACTGGAACTGGCTGCCAAACTACAAATCGGTTCTCCGTTCACCGTCGATTGCCCACCGATGCCGATATCGTCAATGGCAATGTGATGGATGCGCGGCAATTGAGATGCGATGCAAATGTTCGGCTCACTGTTCGCAGCGCCGGCAATGGCGGCTGGTGAGTTGGGGCCGGAACTACCGGACCCTGTAGCACTACCGGAACTACCGGAATTGCTTGATAAATTGTCGTCGTCGATCTCCTCGTCCTCCTCCTCCCCTTCTGCCTCCTCCTCGTTCTCCTCGACGCACTGCGGACAACCGTTGTTATCGTTATCGTTATCGTTATTGCTATAAGTCTCCCTGCGATCCTCGTAGTCGTTCTGTGTTGAATAGGCCTGGCTACGGCGCACCAGAGTACGATTGGTACGGCTATTGGTGCTGATGATGGCACGCTTGAGCTCGATGAGCAGGGGAGATGTCGGCAGCACCGACTGCAACGGTGGCTGGCAATCGAAGAGGCCCAAACTTGCCACCGATTCACCAGCGGCAAGTGGTAGCGGCTGTGTGGTAATTACCGCCGCAGTGTGCACACCCAAAACACCGTGCGTCGTGCTCGACTCCGGATGGATGCGATTGTCCGAATTGGTTGTGGAGAACTTGGACAGTAGCGATTTGGCGCTGGCCTTATTCTTCAATTGCTGCTGCTGCAGATAGTAAAAGTCGCGCGGCAGCGATGAGGTGGCATGCAACGGATCCTCCGGATCGTAATAGCCCAAAGCGGCCGGACGAAATAATCCCGGTGTGCTCAACGAATGTGTTTGCTGTGCCTGTGATTGTGATTGCGATTGCGATTGGGATTGTGATTGCGACTGGGATTGTTCCTGGTCATAGGAGTCACTGATGACGCTCGCTGTGGAGGCGGTTGGCGTGGTGGTGCTCAACGTCGATTGCGAGCCAGCGGCAGCGGCAGCGGCGGCGGCGGCCGCAAATTGTGCGCCCAAAAGTGGCGTCAAACCGGCCAGGAATTGTTCCTGCTGCTGCTGCTGGCGCTGTTCGTCGAGTTCGCGGCGATAGGCCTCGATTTGGTCGCTCGGTGTGGGCGTGTTGCTGTGTATGCAGCCTTGAAAGAAATCCAATGCTTCGTACAGGATAAAACACAGGCCCAGGACAAGAAATGTCTCCATCATAAGGAACAAACAGCCATTGAAAACGTGCAGCACCAGAAGAAATACGCGAAAACGAAACGAAAACCGTATTCAAAACGAAACGAAACGGAACGGAACGGAACGGAATGAAATGGAATGTAATCGCGTTAGGCCCTACTTCTATTAACGTAAGCTATGCGCTAGCCTGTCTGACCCGGAACGCAACGGAATGGAACGGAACGGAACGGAACGAAACGGAACGTAACAAAGCGAAGCGCAATTGAAACGAGTTAAACCGGTTACCGTTAACCGTTAACCGTTTACTGTTTACCGTTAACCGTTGGCTATTTACTTTGTCTCTCTCCCCTTCTCTCCCTCTCCCTCTGTCTGTGTCTGTGTCTGTTTTTTTGATTCCTTTGCTGTTTGTTATGGTTTTGTTTGGTTTTCCTTTGCTGAACACTTTTTGCACTTCATTTTTGTTTGTTGTTTCTTCAAAATTTTCATTTGACGCCTTTTTTTTTGGCTTCACATTTTTTCCTCCTTTTTGCTTTGCTGCTGCTTGTTTATTTTATTTTTTCTCTTCATTTATTTCTTTTATTTTGCTGTTGTGCAACACTCAAATTAATTTCGAATTTGTTGTTGCTGTTGCTGTTGTTGCTGTTGTTGCTGTTGTTGTTGCCTATTTGTGCGCTTTTTATTTGCATACATAGAATGATTCTTTCTCTTGCTTCCATTTACTACAATTGATATATATATATATATGTATTTAAATATTTACAATTAGTACTATATCGGATATTGCACGAATACACATACACAATAAAAAAACACACACACATCGATATTTATTAGAGATTTTACTTAATTATAGACATTTATACATAAAATATATACATTTTTGAAAACTTTTGCTTTGTTCTGTTATTGCTGCATTGTTTTTTGCAGTGCGTGTGTGTGCACCTGTGTGTGTTTGTGTGTGTGTGTGTGTGTGTGTGTGTGTGTGTGTGTGTGTGTGTGTGTGTGTGTGTGCGTGTGTGCGGAACGTGTTGGAAACGAAGCATACAGCATACATACATACACTTACATCTATATACATTATATACAGTTAAATATTCACATTCATAGATCGGTACATTAAGATTGTGAATAGGAAAAGTGGTTTGGCCCAAAAAAGTAGGCAGTGATTTTTGCTCCTACTTCAACGGCTTGGTGTGTGTGTGTGTGTGTGTGTTGCGTGTGTCTTTAAATGTATTTAAAGTAAAAATAGAATTCCATAAAAATCCGAAGAAAAAAATTAATATAAAAATAAATACAATAAAAACAAAGAAGTCCAAATGCTGTGGCAATTTTATTCAAGCACAGTTTATATATTTTGACAAATAACCGCCCCAATTCCAACAACCCAACAAGTTGTAGCCATACTAAGCCGGAGTATCACGTAAGCTTAAAAAAAAAGCTGCAAAGCGCCAAAAAAAAAACAGTAGCTTCATTTGAAACAAAAAATTAATGCCCAAATCTAGAATACTAAGCGAAGCGAGAAGCAGGCAGCAAGCTTAAAATTGCTGAACTAAAGTCAGCCGCAAAATTGTGCGATTTGTTGTAGCTACAAAAAGTTCAACTTCAAGTTGAACTTAAGTGCTTTCAGTAATAGAGTATGGTAGAACTTCGCTATCTCGAGTAAGCCCATTATCGATTTTGAGAAGTTCAAGCTTATTTCGAGATGGCAATAAAAATTGATGACAGCCACGAAGGCTGCTTTTGGGAAGTTCATGTTAGTTGACTAGAAGTCAAACTGTCTTCAAATTGTGTAAATTTAACCAGCAGTTAAATTATTTCAAATTGCATTTTAAATAAACTACTACAATTTGAGACTAGGCAATTAATTATTATATTTAATATATATAAATAAATATTAATAACATTCGATAGAACTAACTGCAAAATTAAAAGTTGCGGATGCAAAAAAAAAAACGAGATATTTACAAGCTAGAAAGTGCAACAAGACCAAAAATGCATTCGATGCTCAAAAGCTCAAAATTTAAAAAAAGAAAAAAAAAAGAGAGGAAAATAAAGAAAAAATATTGTTTAACATGCAACTGGAAATATTTGAGCCGGCCATCGTTGATAACCAAATAAATTCCAGGACAACAACAAGCAAAGATGTTCAATGGCTATTGTAATTCCCATTAGTTGACAACTGAATAACAATAGGACAGCAAACACAAAAAAAAATAAAAATGACATACAAGAGAGTAAATCTGGCAACCCTGTGTGAAAATCAGAGTCTGACAAAGTCATCAAATATGTAGCAAATGTTGCTGCACATGCAGCACTATGAAAATTTGTGGACAATCGTACAGTGGACACATACACATATGTAAACCAAACCTCAACCACAGGCACCAGCCGCACCACAAATGTATCCACAAACCCAACCGAAATTCACCATTCCTTTCATTATGAAACAACAGCAGCAATTGCATTGATTTCCACATGCATCTTTGTCAGCTGCATGGAAAACTTTTCTATGGGCATGGAAAATGCCAAAGGCATCAGTTTTCCAATTCTTTGCACAAATATGCTTTATGAATATCAGAATGTTTTCTGCTTTATTTGTTTAAAGTTGATATTTGCTTATCGAATGCAGACAATTGTATTATTTTTAACTTTTTTTTTTACATTTTTTTGAAAATCAATAAATCATTGTTTTCTCTTTCTTTATTTTTTTTTTTCATTTTGCTTTGGCTGTATTTTATTAATTATTTCATATTTTACATCACTGTTGTTATGGTGTCGCATTGCTTTCCCATTATTATCGCAAACGTATTTACATGAAAACAATGCTTTTGGCCATATATTGGCAAAACAGTTCAGTTGAATCGGCAATTGCTATGCTATCGGCTATGAATTGTATATGCTAACGCATTCCAAATATAAAATATCGAAATAAGGTAAATATTGGACGCTTGGCAATATGATATTTGCTCGAAATTTCTCAACTAGTTCAATTCTCGATTCGAAGCTCCGAGATAAGAAGGCATTTGTCAAAGCACTTAATCAATAAACAATATACAAATAGTTACGAGCTATCATCAAATTTGAAAAGCTAAAAGATTTAACCAAATTCCAATCAGAGCCATCCATATTACGATATTTGAATTATTATCGAGTACTTATAAGTAAGCCATAACAACACACGCAACCACAACCACACACACATAGCTCAAGTGCAATTTGATTCATTTAAATTCAGGACGACGAGTACCAATCACTGAAATACCGCTTAAAAGAAAAGGCGAAAAACCTGAAAATCTTTGCTCAGTGATTTTGATAACCTTTTCCGTTCGAACCCAATTTGATATGCAATATGAATGAAGATATCTATAAGATATTTACAGCAATTTGCAGCTATAATATCAATCTGAAATACTTACACACACACACATACACACACATACACTCACATACACCCCCACACCCACTCACACACACACACACACATACGAGCACATAAAAAGCAATATTTACAAGTGAAGCAAGGAAACCGAAACCGAAACGGAAAACAGAAAACAGAAAAGAAAAAAAAAATTGGAAAATAAAACACTTTACAGCCAAATACGCAGCGAAGCTCAACCCAAAATGATGTGAATGATGATATGCCGCACTCTTTCCCTCTCACTGTTACTGTTACTTTCACGCCCACGCGCCCAAAACGCCCACATGCCACACTCGCAATCGATGATGCGAAAAAGGGCGCAGCAATCACAGCCACAGTGTGACCAAAGCGCGCTTCGCCTTCCAAACCCTCAACTCCTCCCCTTCCCCGACCCTTGGCCAACGCTCGAAGGACACGTCCCGTTAAAGAGTCGCAGTTGATGTTACATTTTCAGTTCCACTTTCCAGTTACAGTTACTGTTACAGTTACAGTTACAGTTACAATTTCATTTCTTGGCCACATCAAAATGCACAACGTGTCGTTATTTATGGCTTTGGGCTTTCTACCGTTAAAACTACAATTCGAAAGAGCGAGAGAGAAAGAGCGAGGGAGATGCAGAGGGAAAGAGAGAAGGAGAGAAAGAGAGAGAGAGAGAAGGGCAGCTTCCTTAACCCTCTCGCAGTTGACAAAGCATAAGCCGAAGGACGCACAACAGATCAAACAGACAGCACGCTGGCTGAGCTTTGCGCCAACACTGTGCACAGTGGGACAAACAGCAAAAGATATCTGCCAATAACGAATAAACAACGTTAAGGAATTTTTCAAATTAATAACGAATGTTTAAGATTATTGGCTAAATGAATGATGAGGTATATCAAAGACTATGTCTCTGATTTGATAAAATTAAAAACAAATGTTGGCAAAAATTGGCTAAAAATTTACTAAGTATACAAAAAAAAGGCTGTTAATTTGCCCCAGCGTGCAATGTAAGCTATAAACTGTCCATACTGGGAAACTCAGTAAAAACAGAGAGAAAGAGAGAGAGAGAGAGAGAGAGAGCGAGAGAAAAAAACAAAACACCGTTTTCATTGCCATTGCGGATTGCAGTTTGGCGGCTGTAAGCTGCAAGCTATCGCCGCGGCTTATGCAACTCTGCAAATTGCTGAGCTGACACAAACACAAACACAACACACACAAATACACACTAACAAAGGCAATGTTTATCCCCTCTTTCCTCTTCCCCCTTCCCCCTTCCACCATCCACCTATCCTCGCTTCGATTCGTGTTTCAACTCAATTTGCTGTTAAACTTTTGCTCGATTTGTTTAGATTTTCAATTTTATTTGTGCGTCCTTTTTGCATTCTGCAATCACCACTCTCCCCTCCACCATCCTGTCCTTTCTCTTTTTTTCATTCGTTGTAGTATCATTATGCAAGGCACTCTAATTAAATTTCTAATGTGTGTGTGTGTGTGTGTGCGGAAAGAGAGCTAACAGTTTAACTGCTGTGCCGCTTTCAACTTCAAACAAATTCCAAGTAATTGCACTTTGAAATTGAAAGATCTCGGCTTGAAATGGCGATGGCGCGGGAGGGGGGATTAACTATAGAGCTCTCTCTTCTTCTCTCTCTCTCTCTCTCTGCATGTGTCTATGCTGATGCCTTCTCGCTGACTTCTGATGCGAATAATTTGAA